ATGATACTTGTTCTATCAACTGAATCAATTCTCGAACAAGTTAAGCCACACGCGTAACTCGAAATAGCCACATTGGCAAAAACAGATGAGATTAAATTGTTTACTTGCATTTTAAATACAAATACAATTCATAAAATTACGTGTCCGAAAAAGGCATGGACAACGGAGGGTTAACATTACGACTAGATGGCACGGTTAATTCGAGACGACATTTCTCGTGGAGGAATTGATCCTCCATTCCCTCTGTTAATTACTTGATCGCAGTCGCTGCAAAATGACAATCCGCCTTGCGAGCCGCGGAAGGAAGGGGCGATAAGGCCCGAGGGTGAACGAGAGGCATAAGATCCGCGAGAGAGCAACGGAGAACGCCGCTCAGGATGGGACAAGACCCCACCCCGGGGTAGAGAGAGAGTCTTCCTCGCCAGAGTTGTAGACATCGATGCTAATCCGATTATCGGGAGCCGATACCGAGACCCTCACAACAGGGAGTAGAAGGCCCGAGACAGGAGTTTTAAGAGCGGTAGAGAAAGCCCTGTGGCTATGCGACCCGTAGGAGTAAGAGAGAACGCCACGTTTAGGACCCTCGAGCCCCGAGCAGGCGGCCAAGCCGAGCCGGACCCGACGACGGGAAACTTATTTTTGGTCTTCTCCTTCCCTTTTCCCTCCACGTGTCGCGTTTGTCAGAAAATTCATATAACGAAATATTGGCCATTTAAATTTACATTGGGCTGTAACGGGACTGTTCGACCATCGCGAAACATTGTACAACTGGTTTGCGTATAATATCATATTGCAAGAATGTCAATTCCTTCGGAAATATAACATTTTATTTCCAATCGTGTTTCCTCTATTTACTGTGCTTATTTTAGTTTACGTTTTTTGCAAAATTTCTCTTTATATCATTTTGCTTTAATGTCAATGCCTTCAATTTGTTTTCTTTTAAGCCACGGAACTCTCAAATTTCGTCGTGTTTCAGTTCCCACATGGTTTATAAATTTACATGTCTTAACACTCTACCGACCGGTAGCGGTTCGAAAATCCTATGCCCTTCTCACCGGCCACTCAGCCGCAGATTTTCTCAAGCACCGGCTCGGTTAGCGCTGTGGACAAAAAGTCGATGAATCGACTGCTGGTCGGTAAGCGCGGGGAAACAAATATTCGATTAATCGACTGCCGGACGGTAAGCGCTGGGAACAAAAAGTCGATTAATCAACTGCCGGTCGGTAAGCGCTGGGAACAAAAAGTCGATTAATCAACTGGCGGTCGGTAAAGTGTTAATAAAGCAGGGACGACGAAAGGTTAAAGTTACGAGTAGACAGCATAGTTTATTCGAGACAACAGTTTTCGCTAAGGAATCGACCCTCCTTTCCCTCTGTCGATTACTTGATCCCGGTCGTCGCAAAATGACAATCCACCTTGCGAGCCATGGAAGGAAGGGGCGGTAAGGCCTGCGGGTGAGCGAGAACGCCGTTGGGAGACATAAGACCCGCGAGAGAGCAAGGGAGAACGACGTTCCGGAAGGAATGAGGCCGTAGCCCGGGGCAGAAAGAGAATCTTCTTTGTCGGCGTGAAAGCATTGACAATAATCCGCTTATCGGGAAACCGACATTGAAACCTTCACAGCAGAGGGTGGGAGGCCCGAGACCGGAGTCTTGAAAGCGGTAGTGGAAGCCCGGGGCCTATGCCGACCCGTAGGAGCAAACGAGAACGCCACGCCCCTCGAGCCCCTAGTCGGCGGCCGAGCCGTGCCGGCCACGCCAATGCGAAAGCGTTATCTAGTTGGGACTCGAAGTCTGGACGCATATGTCTGTCTCTACTCTGTGAGGTGGATAGCACAACAAATAGGCCATCTCTCTCGGACGCACGGCCTCCAGGGCGGATATAGAGAGACACAAGTATACAGTCTCCTTACCGCACCGGCTCTCCGTCCACGTGCTACCGCCGAGGCTGAGTGTCGACAGACTCGAACGCTTTCGGAATGACTCATCCCCCTATTCCCCTTAGCCCACCATGGTTGGTTCCCACAGTTGGTAATGGCCTGTATTGTAATCTGCCATTCAAAAGCGGGTGAAGACGTAAAGACCCCGGAAGGGGTATAATCGTTTTATTACCTTGCGGCGGTAGGACCTTTTCCCTGTTTACCCTGTCAATGAGCACGGCGAGATCGGCGAAAAAGGAATAAATTTTATAAATATTAACACCTGCAATACCGTCACACGGGGTCAATCGGTACGATTTTCAGATGTTTATGTTAGTAACATTTATTTATTTCTTTTAACAAGTTGGTTTCAATTTTAGATAACTGATAAATATCCTTGAATGCCATTAAGAAGTAATTTATAGGGTGAACCATAGTTTTGATATAATTTTTCCTGTAGATGCCCCAATAGACTCCAAGTTGTAGGTCAATAAATACAAAAAATTAGAAATATTAGGTCTACACTCAAGAAACAAGTTTTTTTTCCAATAGAAAATACAATCTGCTATTAGGAAGACCATGTGCAACCCTCATCAAACATATGTTTTCTCGTATTTTTTAGTAAACCGAAAAAAAAGGAGAGTAAATTCGTTTAATTTTCTGAGTTAAATGTGGCGAACTCAATAAACCAGTTGATTCAATTTAGATTTGGAGCTATCAATTCTATTTCAGTCAAGTTTGGAGTTGATTCAACTACAAAATGTGATTTCTCACTAAATGTAAGTTGATCCAACTCACTTATTGAGATCGCCATATTTAACTCAGAAAATGAGTTGAATTTACTCATTTTTTTTCCGCGCAGAAGTAAAACAACATAAATCTAGAAATTCATGAACGAAAACATAAATGCTAGTCTTCGTGAATGTCTTAAAATACATTTTATTCTCCTTAAAAATAAGCAGCCAATATAAAACTTTATAAATTTCTTTAGTATCTGTCAAAGTTATTTGGTCCCGTTTTTCTCGCTCGAGGGCAGTCTGGAAGATTTCTTGGGTGCCATTTTTATACACTCGATGACCAATCTGCTTAACGTAGTTTGTAATTGACAGTTTGTTTGTAATTGCGAATTGACAGTTTTGCAATATGATACTGCATGCAAACAAGTTGTAGCGCATTTCGCGACGGTCGAACAGTCCCGCTACAGCCCAAAAGTAAATTTAAGTGGCCCATATTTCGTTATATGAATTCTCTGACAAACGTTACACATGGATGGTACAGCGGCGGAGGGGGGTCAGTCATTCGGATAGCATTCGAGTCCGTCGACCCTCACTTGTCAGCCTCGGCGGTATCACGAGGACGGAGGGCCGGTGCAGTAAGGGTACTGCATACTTGTGTCTCTCTATATCCGCCCTGGAGGCCGTGTGTCCGAGTGAGATGGCCTATTCGATGTGCTATCCGTCTCATACAGTAGAGTCAGACTTATGCGTCCGGGCTTCGAGTCCTGACCAGAAAACGCTTTCGCGTTGGCGTGGTCGGCCCGGCTCGGCCGCCGACTAGGGGCTCGGGACGTGGCGTTCTCGTTTGCTCCTATGGGTCGCATAGGCCCCGGGCTTCCACTACCACTCTCAAGACTCCGGTCTTGGGCCTCCCACCCCCTGCTGTGAGGGTATCAATGTCGGTTACCCGATAAGCGGATTATTGTCAATGTTTTCACGCCGGCAAAGAAGATTCTCTTTCTGCCCCGGGCTACGGCTTCGTTCCTTCCGGAACGGCGTTCTCCGTTGCTCTCTCGCGGATCTTATGCCTCCCGACGGCGTTCTCGCTTGCCGTCCTTCACCCTCGGGCCTTATCGCCCCTTCCTTCCGCGGCTCGCAAGGCGGATTGTCATTTTGCAGCCACTGCGATCAAGTAATTAACAGAGGGAATGGAGGATCAATTCCTCCACGAGAAATGTCGTCTCGAATTGACCGTGCCATCTAGTCGTAATGTTAACCCTCCGTTGTCCATGCCTTTTTCGGACACGTAATTTTATGACTTGTATTTGTATTTAAAATGCAAGTAAACAATTTAATCTCATCTGTTTTTGCCAATGTGGCTATTTCGAGTTACACGTGATGTTTAACTTTTTCGAGAGTTGATTCAGTTGATAGAACAAGTATCATTCTGATCGACTCTTTTCTAATATTCTCATTTCTCTGGGAGTATTTAATTTCAAACGCAAATCGATTCAAAGTCTATTTAAAATTTGAAATCCATAACAGTTTATTGTTCTTATTTCAAATACGAAATGGAAATGGGGTTTTTCGTTTTGGATACCTATTTCGAATGAAATCAATTCGTAAGAGTTACTCCGATTTGCGTTTATAATAAACTCGGATATGAAAAGTCTTTCTTATGTTTACGGGTGCTCATTTACATGCTGATTTAATGATTTACAGGTGTCCATTTATTCGAGGAATACGAAGAATGGTGTGGAACGTAAATATATAAGAGGCATGAAATCACGATTTCGTTTCTGTGTCCGATAGTTGATGCGTCGTAAATTTTCCGACGGTATTTCACTGTATATATATTTAGAAACTATTTCTTTTAAGCTAAGATAATATTCTAACTTCGGTTCAGTGAATGGAACAATTGAATCACTAAGAAACTTGTTAACATTTAATAGAACATGTTCTATTATATTCTTTATAAAATTCTGTAAATTATTATTTAACAAAAACTACGTTAGGTGGGTCAGGGACGCTCCACAGTAATACTAAAATAATTTTCATTAATTGTTTTTGTTTATAAATATTTATTTTCTTTAGGAAATCCATTCTGCCCCTCGAGCGATTCGAATTCCGCGCTGCTCCCGCCGCTAGTACGCTGCGCGGCCAGAGAGGGCAGTGCGGACCAGGTGCAAGCCATCGATGGAGTCCAGTGTACATACCTCGTCGCTGATTTGCCGTCTCGTCTTTTCGACCGTTTATTGGTCGGATATGCGCCATTTTAGCAAATGTCTAGTCGCGTAGTTCGAAACTGGCCGTTATCGCCAACAAATGGACATTTTTCTGAACACCTTCAAACGTGGTATGCATAGACAACTTCAAAGTGTCGAATTGTGCTCCGTCGCGTCCTGTGACACAGTTGACTGTTTAAGAAGCCGATTTTTCCATTTTCTTGGCGAGGTTTTAACGGTTCTGCCATGTCTAGTGTGTATGAAAATTTGCTAGAAGTTCGGCGAAGTCGGCGTATTCACATTGAGCAGTAAAATCATCGCGATAAGTGCAGTGGACCCGAGAAGCGGAACCCGTGCCGTGTGTCCCGTCAGATATATTTGGTTTATTGATATTTTGAGTGTCATAGGCTTCTCGGTGTCTATGCATAACCTGAGGTAATTAAATTATTTGCTAAGTTATTGTCCAGTTACCGAATGATCGAATGCTGAGGACGGCCAGGTGTTTCTTTGCGACTATTATGAATTCTTTGCGAAAATTAAATTTGTTTACGTCAGTACTTTTACCCTTGCTTTTCGAGCCAACATAACCTTACATGAGACAATTTTGAGTAGGCGCTGAGAAACTCCAATACAAACGTTGATAATTTAGGGTCTTTGTTAGATCCAATGTGTTGTAGACCCAGTGTTTTGAAGAAACTAATGTTCTTTCTATATTTACATGCATTATGTTTCAGGGAAATTTTAACCTGGAGGAGTGCTACGATATATTTGTGTCTTATGAATAGATGCAAAATGTTTTGTTTATGCGTTTTTTAAGTATCCAAATTAAATTTCTCATTATTTGTGATACTATTGAAGGTAATGGACTTTATTTAGAATGTTTAACACTAAATTTACCACGAGCCAGTAAAATGACTGTTTTTAAATGATATTGGTAATTGGGGTTATAACTTGTTGGTTCTTTTAGTGTTAATATATGTTATGAGGAACACGAAATATAATAAATATAATAAATGTCTAAGTTTATTTAGAACGTCGTTTTATCCTTTCGATAGAGATAAAGTTGTCCAGCAAGTTATTACTTTTACCGATGTATTAGACTTCTTTCTGGTTTTATAATCTGGGTAACAAACTTGATCGATAAGGTTTCAATTGAGCACTTGAAAGATTTAGATCGCATTTCGTAATTGGAGAAAACAAAACCCATATATGTTGTGATCACTTGCTTTAGTCGATACATTTTGAATAAAAAATGATTTGGTATAAAAAGTCAAACTATCCTTTATCTGTTACAATAGAATGTACAATATTTCCATATAAATCACATAGTGATTGTGTTTTGCCAATATTCATATTAAATATATATAGAGAGGTTTCTCTCTCTTTTTTGTATGCTTATGTATATATGTACTTCACTTTAGTATATTACATAAATAAGTTTCAAAGAAAAAGTTGTAATTGATTTAAGATTGATGTGTTTGAATGACAAAAAAATGTTGGAAAGTTACATGTTAGATTTTTGTTTAATTAGTGTATTAAAATGTAACTTTATTACAATATCAACAGCAATATTGTTTCATTTTACTGTTTTAGATGTTTTTAAAGTTATAGCAGTTTTAGAAGTATTCATAGGTATCATTCTTATTATTAATTACTTTTGTTACAGAGTTTGGACAGTGTTCTAGTTAAATCTTTAGACTGAAAGATTTGCAAAACTAATTGGACCAATCGATTAACACAATGTCAGAAATAATTTACCCTCAAGGGTGTAGGTCCGTTACCGAAGACTTAGGTCAAGATGAGCTCATTCGGAGACTTAAGGTATATCCAGAAATTTAATTTATTTAATTGGTATTCACTGAAATTCATTTTCATAGAATAGTAAAAGAATAAATTTAAAACATGTACACAAGACTATAGTTTGATAAAATTTGATCTGCTACATATTTTTTTAATTGCGCAAGAAAAGTAAAAAAACAAATATCTTCTAAAAATGTTCCTGTTACGTATATGGTTTATAGTAATTGATTTCATGAGGTTTTCAGAAGCAAAACCTTTTTTTTTTATAATAATAAAGTCTCTTGAGTTTTAAATGACAAATTGAGGTAAATAAATACATAAAACTTACTTGCCACTTTCAGTTAAAATAATATAAATTTATTTGGTTTACAGACACTTGCGCATACCTTACAAGCAATGGGTCAGGATGAGGGAATGTATCAGCAATACATTCCTTTGGCACTGCATTTAGCAGAGGAACATTTCCTGATGCATCAAAGCAAGGACGTCCAATTACTCATAGCTTGCTGCATTGCAGATGTACTAAGAGTATATGCTCCTGAAGCTCCTTATAAGGATGCTGACCAGGTAACCAGTGAAACAGCTTTTATGGTGTTTTAATTACTTGTTCTACTACCCATATTAGACATACTTTAAGTTTCTCTTATTCAATTATAAACAAATTATTAAAGCATTGAAAATCTAAGAGTTGAACTGAAAGACGAAAGGGAATAAGATTCATCTAATTATTATATGCTAAATCAGCTTTTACATATTGTTATTTCTATTTTCATGATACATTAATGTCTGTTTCAGGTCAAAACAATATTTCTATTTTTAATTAAACAGTTGGCTGGATTGAAAGACCCTAAAGACCCAGCGTTTAAAAGATACTTTTATCTACTTGAAAATTTAGCATATGTCAAATCATTTAATATGTGCTTTGAATTAGAAGATTGTCAGGAAATTTTCTGCGCTCTCTTTTCATTAATGTTCAAAATCGTTAAGTAAGTATCTTTGTTTTATTGTTTACTTGCCCTTGTATTATGTTGAATTGCATTTGCATGCAACTGAATGATGTTTTCAGTGACGAGCACTCTGGGAAAGTGAAGAGTTTTATGTTGGATGTTTTGTGTCCACTTATCACCGAGTCTGATATCGTCAGTAACGAGCTGTTGGATATCATTCTAATGAATATTGTAGAGCCCAACAAAACTCAGAAGAAGAATGCATATATGCTTGCTAAGGAACTTATCATTAAATGTAGTGATACTTTGGAACCTTATATTCAAGCGGTGAGTCAAATGTACAACATAAATCGCGTACATGGATCTCATTTTCCCTAAAAACATAAATAAAGCTGAAATTTATTTATGTAATGATTTTTTTAATTTGAATAGCCTAGATCTTTGAAACACCTTGCAAATTAATAGAAAACTAATGTCATTCAATTGTAAAAGCATTGATATTCTTTTTTGTTTTTAAACATCATATATTAACATTTTTTAATCGTGCATTTTTCAGTCAATCTTTCTTGAATGAACTTACATGTATATTAATTTTTTTTTAAGCTGGTATGGTTAAACATTTGAAACATTAGAAGTGACAAAGAAGTAAATTATTAAGGGGGCTTGGTACTAACCAGATCAGTAACACAAATATCTAATTGAATGGTAATAATTTACAATATATTTATAATCTAAACAGTAAAAAATTGGATCATATAAATGGCATCATGGAACCAAAAATTAATGATTTTCAACGCGTGCGTTTCGATCTTTTAAGGAATTTTCTTTGTAGTTTTGTTAACAAAGAGAAATTACAAAAAATTAAGTAATGGGAAAGGCTACTATTCAGTGTAAACGCATTGAAAGATTTACAACATAATCAGTATATTTGACACGACGTTACAGGCTGTTTTAATTAATTGAATCGTCATGAGTAAATAGCGCTAAGTAACATGTGGTAAGGGAGTGATTCTTATTTCGAAAAATTGACTGTCCTTGCGTCTCACATACAGTCATTCTTATTCGATAAAACATTGTTTCGATTGTGGGATTTAATAAAATGGTGTAGACTTTCTGAATGCAAAAAACGACGGATTTAATGCTAAACGAGGTCAGGAAGCAACGGGTGAGCGAAGTCGGACAGCATCTCATGAACATCGATCAGAAGCTGGTTAATGTTGGCTGCAAATGAAAATGGGCAACGTGGTTAATTGTCACTTCACCAGAACGGCAGTTACATTGACGGTCAACGAAGTTGTTAATATAGATGAATGTACTAAAAGATTGCTAAAATTGTGGAAAGGGATCCAACGATCAAATCTGCACACCAGCTTTGGTTCCAAAAGGTTTTTTAAGGGGGAACCCTATTTATCTTAGTTTTATCTTAAACTGGATTAATTTTGGGATTTTTTTTTCGTACAAAAATTTAAGCTTATTTTTTAAAAAGATGCTAGGTTTACTGATATTACAATAGTGTATTTGCATACATTTTCTTTTTGACCTACAAAATTTATTAGTCGACTTACGAGAGGAAACGTGTACCGAGGTTAAATGGTTGCACCGATATGGTGGGCACGATAACTGCTAGTAATTTTGTCTTAAATCAAAAATAAAAAAAATATGTTGTAAAACACACCTTTCTTTAGGAGATGGACCTTTTTGAAACAGAATTATGAAAAATGTGATAGATACAGGTCGGTTTCCAGAAAGTACCATTTATTATTTTTTGTTTTGTTTTAGGGCACATAAAAGAGTTTAATTGACAAAAGTTAGCATAAATATAGCATCCCCAGCGAAAAGATATTTTACAACATACCTCAAAATTTGAACTTGATCGGAGGATGTCTTTGAGATATCCAGCCCACCGAAATAGAAAAAGTAGTTCCTAGAGAAAGGCGTTTAAAGTTTGAGAAATGATTTACATGTAAAAAGTCCATAAAATATATATAGCATAATTATACTGTAACATATATATAGTATACATAATGTATATAGGTATATATTGCAATTTTAATCTGGAAGCGATGTCACATGCCTGCCAAGCAAGGCTGATGTGCTCGCCACGGGTGGGCCGCGCAGTATCATTTATCTCTCGTATCTTTTACAATGTTTATTATTTTAACATAATATGTTAACTAGGTGTTCTTTAAATACGAAACTTTAAGAAAATGCAAAAAGAAAATCGATTGCTTTTCGCTGGATTGATGGGGTTCTCTTTTTAAGGTGATGTGAAAGTGGCGTCAAAGAGTATGACATTTTTGTCCGAATTGGGCATATCGAATCGTTTCAAATTTTACAATGAACAAACTTTACAACGTGAATATGGAGGCTGTTAGGAAAGTCCAGACAACCACATTTCAATTTTTTAAAAATTTGTTTATAAATATTTAAAACATTTTTTATGAAAAATGAAATTTCATAGTTGTGTAGACTTCCTTGAAACCTTCATATTCATATTTTAAAGTTTGAAACGATTCAGCACACGCAGTTTGAAGAAAAGTTTCGTCAACGATTCATCCCACAGATGCTACATTCACATCCCCTTAAGTGATAAAGACACTAGCCATAGTTTTCGTTTCTATTAGCAGTTTCGTATTTTAAAATATTTACTTGATAAGTTTTTGATTCCGAAGTGATTAAAAACTCTAAATTGATTAAGTGATTAAGTGAATTAAGTGATTAAGAATACTATAGTTATTAGGAAACAAATGAGCGTAATTAAAAGTGACAATGTTACTATTCTTTTTCATTTCTAACATGTACCGAAATTTTTGTCGTCTTCTCTATCAGATCTTCACAAATTCTATGATATAATTGTTTTTATAAAACGAAATTGAAGTCTAACTGAAAATACTTTACAAAAAGAGAACTGTTCAAATTAGTATCATTACATATAACGCCAGCATTGACATTATTTTTCCTCCTATAAATGTTTGCGTTTGAATTAGACGAACTTATTATAAGCTTAAGATATTGATTGACCATTTTTTTCAGTTCTTCAACCACGTCCTAATCTTGGGTAAAGAGGAGAAGGGCTTACAAATTTGCAGGAAGGTGTATGACTTAATCTATGAGCTGAACCACATCTGCCCAGGCGTATTACTATCCGTTCTGCCCCAGCTAGAATGCAAATTAAAATCCGCTATCGAGAACGAAAGGCTCGGAGCGGTTGCTCTATTGGCCAGAATGTTCTCGGAGAAGGGTTCTCAACTGGCCGTTCAACATACGCAACTCTGGCGAGCATTTCTGGGCCGATTCAACGACATTAGTGTAGCTATTCGTATAAAGTGCGTGCAGTACTCGATGCATTTTCTGCTGAATCATCCCGAGCTCAGGAAGGACATTACCGATACGCTGAAATTGCGTCAGCACGACGCTGACGAGAACGTTAGGTACGAAGTTGTCATGGCTATTGTGACCACCGCAAGGAAGGACTTCGAAGTCGTCTCGGACAGCGAGGATCTCCTCGAGTTCGTTAAAGAGAGGACTCTAGACAAGAAGTTCAAGATTAGAAAGGAAGCCATGGCGGGCTTGGCAATGATTTATAAAAAGCATTTGAATGATGCGGACGTGCCACAGGCCACAAAGAAGGCAGTCACGTGGATTAAAGATAAGATTTTACACGGGTATTATATGGTTGGAATGGAGGACAGGTTGCTAGTTGAAAGGCTTTTGAACACCTGCTTGGTTCCTTACCAATTGCCGGCCGAGGAGAGAATGAAGAAGCTGTATCATTTGCTCGGTACCATTGATGATCACGCCTCGAAAGCGTTCGTCGAGCTTCAGAAGCACCAGCTTGCGTGAGTATCACTCGTGTTAATTCTTCAGTACTTTATTGACAATTTTATTGCATAGGTTGATGTGAAATTGAGCTTATAATGGTATTTTAAGCTTTTCGATTAAAAATGGTACATTTTCAGGGTGAGAGAATTGTTAGCCTTGTACACTGTATCATAAAAGAAAAATTGTATCATGGATGTGAGAGCCTCTTCCCATAATGTTTCTGCAGCAATCAAATTTGATATAATGTAATGGTACGCAGTTTTGATCCGTGCCCATGCACTGAAAAACTGCATCCTTCGAGGGTTCGAGCCTCACGACTCCTAAGACCGAAATTAATTTAAATTCTAATATATAAAAGAAAAAGAGACTGCGGAGAGAACGAGGAGAGTGTTTCACGAGCGATCAGCTCAGCGTGTCTATATTCCGGATTTCGGGAGGCCCGTCCGCTAGAACCGGTTCTAGTGGGTTTTTCTAAGGCTAAGCGCTCCGGCGCCGTCTGGTCTAGGGTAGAATTTGGCGATTTCAATTCCTGGGAAGGTTCTGGAGTTTCCGGCCTCTTTAATTTAATTAGCTGCTGCCCTAATTGGATTAATGGGGTTTTCCCTGACTCACGTGCTCTGATCGGGAAAGGAAAGGAAAAGGAAATGATTCTTAGTGAGAATGACTTATTCCATCAACGGTGCGTTCTATTTGTTCATCATCGAATCCACAAAGGAATATGAAAACATGTGAAGTAAAGATTATTTGGATAGTGTGGTTTGGGGTAGGATTCAAATCGGACTTAATAACCGTCCTCGCGTCTCTCCGCATTTCCCCTTCCCCACGTCTCGAATTCTTACCGTCGCGTTTGATTTGAAACTCGGCCGTTAGTAGGATCGAAATAAAGAGTTGTTAGTTTACAACTGAGATGAGAAATTGGGATTTAATTTGGGTGACTGATCAGCCTAACTTGAAATAATCTTCTCCAATCAATTTGGACTCGCGGACTAAAATCAACCGCGGATTTATGTGTCTTCCGGAGTTATTCCCTCCGGATTTTAGTATTACTTACACTATGTTATCCAGCTGCGGTATTGGCTGGGTTAAGGTTTTGTAGAATAGGAACTCCGATTTCAATCGCAACGTGCGATTTAGAGGACACGAAGGTACGATTTTCGTATAGGATTTTAGTGAACTAGGATGTGGGTGTGGTCGTTATGCCAGGCCCACTGGAACACGGGACCTGAAAATAATTATATCAAAGCTCATTCGTTCTTGACGAGATGTTTTGTCCGCACTCGAATCGTGAGCGGCAATGCTTGGTCATCGAGGAACGAGCAGTCTCCCAACGAAGTTATTTCCGCGGTTTTCCAGAACTTCAAAACGAAATTGATTCCAGGCGCAATCATGCGTCTTCGCGTCGCGGAGGGTTTTCGAGAACTCTCGTTGATCGTTACAATATCGATATCCAAGAGTAAGACCCGTTGATCGTTACACGATCGATATCCCAGACTAAGGTGAAGTGAAACTCCCTTCAAATCAGTCGATTCGAATACAATACTTTTTTTTAAGGGTATTGGACCAAACTGTCCGAAACTTCGACACATGACTCGTGATCATCTAAGAATTGTCCTGACACATTTAAAATTTGGGTTTTTGGAAAAAATTGTTTAACTTAGCCCAGACCAGAACCAAAATGGCGTCGAGCTCTCATATTTCGATCGATATACAATTATCAAAGGCTCTGATATGAGAAACGAAAGGGTCAGGACAATTTTACGACAATTTAGAACACTCTGGTAATTGATAAACTCACATTTCAACGGGATAAAGGCAAAAAAAAGTGTTGTATGCGCTTCTATGTTAAAACGATGGGAATAATGTTTCGGAGTGAAAATTCAATTGACGAAATCACAGATGGCGCAGGGTGGGTCTTTCTGCAATCAATTAGGGCCTCAGAAAGCATGAATCCATAGGATTCCTGATGTTTTACTTCCGTTTCATTACAATTAATGTACGAAAACGACAGGTAGAGGATGCCATTTGGTACAATACCCAATATAATTCGACACAACTGTCAATATAAAAACAAACGTCGGCAACGTAGGCATTTAGAAAAATCTTCTTTATCGACGTCGATCAAGTTCCTCGACGTGTTTCACTTCACCTTAAGGGTGCTCTCTCGCGATGCTCCGCGCTCGAGAGCCGCGCTTCCCTCTCCCGAGACCTCTCTACTCGTACGGCATTCTAATTGCACATGTCCTACGTATGCCGAAATAATGGCCATAGTACAATTTCGCGCACTCTTAATTTGGACCCGTTACAATAATTGAAATAAATTAGGTAATCTTAAAATTGCCGCTAAGGCTCTAGTAACCGCGACTCGGCCATTTTAAATTAATGACGTCAGAAGTGAGGAAATTGCATGAATTTCCTAGTAGCTATTTTTAAAAATGAATGACATTTTCTAGCGAAGATTAGCACTGCAAGAAACTAGATATTCACGAAATGTGTTGAATGGCCAGTTTTTTACGGACCATGCACAAGGAAACGAGGCATAATTTTCTGAAAATCGGCCTGCCAAGACCAATGATAGACTTACTATTCCGAGGCAATAATTACAAGATAAACACAATATCATGACAAATACGGACCGTCCAACACATTTTACACATCCACTGATCACTTCGGCACCAACAATTTGACGTCAAAATCAATAACTTGGAAGAATAGTGGAGGGGAATTTGCTAATGCTCCAGCTGTTATTTTTCATACCTTGAGCTTGGGGCATTTATCCTCAGATGGCAGACTAGATGGTATATCTATTAACGAAGAATTCAGAAGTCTTCATAGAAGCCCAGAAGGATACGGACGTTCGATGCTCGATAAATAGTATGTTAGCCATGCATGGCGGCGCTGTAATCATCTCTCTATCTCTCTTAATCTTATGGCGATATATAGTGAATTCCATTCTTTCTTTCTCTTACACACAATACTCGTCTTTCTATATGCGTCTCTTTTCCTCCCATATGTGAGATGTCGTTGGTTAACACGTGTGATTTCTCTTTTACCTCCACTCCTGGTTTGTTAGCCAACTTTTAGAGCATCAAGCACTAACATAGGATCTGGGCTTCTATGGAACTTCTGAATTCATTTATCAATCACTTATTTAAATATTATAAAAATGAAAACAGAAACAGAAATATAAATCCATACTTTAATGAAAAAATATTCTTTATTGAATTCAGTCTTGAAATCATTTAGAAATTCAAACATAATGCATTTATAATTATAACATTAATTTTAGTATGTCAAAGCCCAAATTGATACAAGGTGATGTTGTCAGCAGTAAGTAATCCATAGTTGCCATGATTGCCTAGAGCCAATCAATCGTGAGGATTTTGATTTCTTCCGTAGCCCAAAATTTCGCTCGAGCGTCGTATGAGAGAATGAGGCAAAGAAATAGAAAGACAGAGCAATTGAGTACACAAGCAAGTACACATAAACATACAGGGACAAATCAATGTATAGCAACGTTGCTTATTTCGCTCGGTAGTTGTCACTTTGGTATAAAGCAATAATAGCTAGAATTTGATTTTTTTGTAACCTGACCTTTCGCCTTCGAGCACGTGCGGGAGTCGTTTAACAAAGAGAATCGAATCAGACGTTTAAGTCTTCGATTCAATGACCATTGGTGAGCTTATAATGCCCAGTGCAGTCTAGCCGATGTTTATTCAAATAATACGGATATTCTATAATGCATTTCCGATAAATTAGATTTAGAAATGTAGAGTACATCATATGAAATTATCTAAAATTTGGTTAATCGTGAATGGTATAACCTAATCTGTAACACGCTAGGTTCCGAAACAAAGTCAATCGATTTTAGGATAATGTATTTTTTTCGACTCATATTTGTGTATTTTGTATGGCTTATGACATAACAATACTGAATTAAAAATAAATATGGGCAATTAAAAATTAGTCGTATACAACAGAAAAGAATTGAATTTGAAATTATTTAAACAATGAATTGTCTGTGTTTAAAACTGAAATTTCATCCAGTGACTTAAACTCTTCTCTACTCTTCTTAAAAATGTGAACACATTACACACAAACACGTGATATAGATTAAGTCCTGCGCTCATCGCACGGTAAGCATCGGTCAAACGCATGTTGGCAAAATTAGACAAAATCAATGTCGCTAGTATCGCCATCTGTAGGAATCGTTAGAATGTCTGTCTGTTAAGGTGATAGTGAAGGCGCTGAGAAATTTAATCGATGTCGATAAAATAAAATACATCTATACTCTTTTTGGTAGTAATGGGTGCATTCGGAGGTGAAAAGCGGTTACCGATGAGTTGGGAACATGTTGCGATTTTCTGCTGAATGGACTGTTCAATGATCATAATATGGCGGCATCCAGTGTTGTGTAACCTAACCTCCTTATAGCACTGGCNTCCTTTTTTACAAGAGATATTAAGCCGTACTGTTTCAGATTGGTCTATATTAGGAAGATAGAGTACATTAGATTAAGGTTAAGTATACATTTCGAAATAATGTACCATTTTGTAACATTTAATGCACTTCTGCACTCTGTGTATGTATACTCTGTACTGAAGACCGTTTACTTCATACATTTCACTGTAATAACTGATTTCATTTGCCATCCTTGCTTCTTTAACTTGAATTTACACGGTTTGGATTTGAAATTGATCTATCCAACACGTTGAGCGTAGGTAGCGTCGAAAATGTGTGATACATAAAATGGCGTCTGATCAATAAACATGTTGAGTGAACGTACCCATTCAGCAGATGAGCGCTAACCGGTCACTCAACAGTTGTCTCCTCTGAATGCACCCAATGTTATTTTTGATATTCACTATACGTTGGGAATTATACGAAATGAAGCGTTCCACGTGTTAGTGTGAAGTGTTAATTTCAGTCGAATAATTATAAAGAGATCGATGTAAAAATGTCGAAATCCCGTGGATTCATGATTGTTTATACCCGAATGGGCCAACGGCGCCATCTGTGACGTTTAGTTGCAACTAAATTTTTGCTCTAAAAAACATGTTACCCACGAAACATGCCAATATTCTCTTGCAATTGTTGGTGACAGTATTTTCCATATTTTCCCATCTGACTCTGTAATATTTCATTTCCGTAGTATACTAAATTGTTTGAATTAGGTCCTGAAACTCTTCATGTTCGAGTCTAAGCCTTCAAAAAGTGTGAAACATCAAAAAAGTGTATAGACCACGCTATGTTGGTTCTAGTTCATGATAAATAAATAAGATTTTTATGAAAAATAAAATTTCATGAGTTTCAGGATCTACCTAAGGGTCTCCACATTCACGTGGTAAAATTTGAAAAACGAATTGGTGCACCCAATTCAGAGAATACTTTTAAGAACGATTTGATGTCTCAGATATATATAGGCTGACTCTTTCATATCACCTTCATCTTATATTTCGCACAAGTGGCGTAAAGATCATTTATGACTTTCTCGCTACGGTTACTAAGGTCTTAACACTTAGCCGACCGAACGGGGAGATCTCCCTGTTAAGTGTTAATATACACGGTGTCCCATTTGAAATAGTACGGCTTAATATCTCTTGTAAAAGAGAAAGGACAGCAAAATTGTTCAAATAAAAGTTGTGGTGTTCGGAAGGGGAAACTCAGTCCTGATGGTATCCAGGCCCTCGTTACTTATGTTTTTATGCTACGAGCATAAAGTCAGTTTTCTTAAATGGCAACAACATTTTTCACCCCTACAAGAGTTGTTCGTCATGCCGAGGAAAATTCAACTATACCATTTTTTTTTATTACGTCATCGTTTTCACATGAGTAATCGTACAAAAATCAAATGAAAAGGAAATAGTTTTATTTGGATTATCTTACATGTATTTTTGTGTAAGTGTCGCGAACTGTCATTGCAGAAGATGTTCGACGTTACCGGCATTAACAGCAAGGCACACTTCAGCCGGCGAAGAACAGACCGAAGGACTTTAAGTGGAGTGTTCGCGATTGCATGTCTGATCCGTTTTTGAAAATCCACGGGGGTTGTCGGTCGATTGGTGTACACATCTTTCACGTAACCCCACAAATAAAGATCGAGTGGTGTGAGTTCAGGAGATCGAGGTGGCCACTGAACAAAACCACTTCGACCGATTCAATGATTGGGGAAAACAATGTTTAGATGATCTCTCACAGATCGGCTGAAGTGCGGTGGTGCACCGTCTTGCTGGAACCATGCCTGTTGTCTAGTTGCTAAATGCACATTTTCTATGCGAATTGGTAATTCGTTCTGTAAGAATCTCATGCCGTTAACATTTTCATCAAACAGGGTCCAATCACTTGATCATCAACAATACCGCACCACACGTTAACACTTCACCGATGCTGGTGATCAATGCTCTGAGTCCAATGAGGGTTTTGGATTGACCAATAATGGCAATTGTAACGATTTAAAGAGCCAGTACTCTGGAATGTTGCTTCATCACTAAATACGACGAATCAAAAGAAATCTGGGTCTTTGTTTAATCTTCTTAAAGCCCAACGACAGAAGTTGATGCGGTTCTCCATATCCTGGGGAGATAATGCTTGCGTGAGCGTGATATGGTATGGATGATACCGACCAGATCTCAAGATTATGTGGGCAGTGGTATTCCCAAATCACGTTCAATGTCCCGTAAACTAACGTTAAGATTCATATGTATCATTGCTATAACAGCAATGCTGCCTAAATCGTCAGGGTTGAAATCTGGCTGGTGTTGTCGTTGCCCAATTTTTCCCAGTCGACAATTCCGTTTGATTTGGCGAATGACTGCAGCAAAAGGATGTCATCGATTTGGAAAACACTGTGCATACAATCGTGTCGCTATCCGTTACACTCCTCGACATTCACCTAATATTAGTAAAATATCTACACATTCACTAGCTGAATAACCCATTGTAAATGACACTGTGTGAATTCGATAAAAGATATTTTGTTACCGACAGAACATGAAGAATAACAAGTGACTACAACGTTCCTTACTCACCTCGGTCATCTTTTGTTTACATGGTACATTGACAAGATAGTAAAGCGTGGCAAGGTAGTCCAAATAAAGCTATTTCCCTTTTAATTGATTTTTGTATGATTATTCATGTGAAACATCACAAAAATCATAAAATCATCATAAAAACATCATAAAAAAAAGGATACGGTTGAATTTTCTTCGATTTGACGGACAATTTTTGTAGGGGTGAAAAATGTTGCCATTTAAGAAAACTGACTTTATGCTCGTAGCACAGAAACATAAGCAACGGGGGCCTGGATTCCATCAGCACTGAATTTCCTCCTCCGAACCCTACAACTTTTATTTGAATAATTTTGCTGTCCCTCCTTTTTTACAAGAGATATTAAGCCGTACTGTTTCAGATGGGACACCCTGTATAATAACTAGATATACCCCGAACGCCGACGCGCTCGGCTTCGGCGGCACGGCTCTTTACGGTGGCTTGACCGCGCCGAGTTTGATCAACCAATCGCCGAATCTCGATCATGCGATGGGAATTTTTTATTTACCTTTGTTCCGTCACACACACACACACACACACACACACACACACACACACACACACACACACACACACACGCACGCACGCACACGCACGCACGCACACACACGCACACGCAAACGCACACGCACACGCACACGCAAACGCACACGCACACGCACACGCACACGCACACGCACACGCGCGCGCGCGCGCGCGAACACAGCGCTACATTGTTACATTGCATTGCATACAAAATTGTTTATCTACCGATCGCCGAACCTCGGTCATGCAGTCGGAAGTTTTTTGATCTAATATTTTTTATGAGATCCTCGGGGTCGATTTAGGGGGGACATGTTTCAAGGATTTTCGATTTTGGGGCCGGAACCCGTCGAAATCGCGTTAGGTTAGTTTCGCGATGTACATACATACATCCAGACGATAACAGGGCTTTAATAATGTCAAAGAATACAGATGTCTCCATAGAAGCTCAGTTTCCGTGTTGGCACTTGATACCCAATAAATAATAACCAAGTGGGATGCTAGATGGCAGCACGGGCGAATTAAAGCATTACAGAGTGAGGGGAAGAGCGTGGGCGACGTGAGCTGCCCTAAGCGGGGGTTCGTCCCCCTCTCCTCTCCCCCCAACACGCCACGCGATACGGGACAAAAAACAGATTTAGAACCGAGATACCACAGAAGGCTCCATAGCTGTTCGCTGAGAGATTGAAGCTTGTGCTGAATCGCACATTCCTTGCTCATTATATCTTAATACGATATAATTATTGAAGACTTAAAAAATGTGTGACATCCACGATATACAGAAACACTTTTCAATGGTATTCTGTATTGCAATATTACTCTATTTATGTATAGAAATATACACGTGGTATTTAAAGGACCTAACTCGTAGCATATGGACGCTTGAAACGAATCACGAGACGTCAAGAAAAGGGGAATGTCGACATAAATGAATGCATGGTTAGCCCACGTATATTAAATGATAGGAGAAAGAAAGGCAGACATAAAACGGCGGGAACTTTGTCCGTCAAGGCATACACGAAAGGGGAACAGGCGATCTGTAAAAAAAGAAAGAATGCACGTGTTAGTCGACTTATCCTGCATGGTGGAGAAAGAAAGATACGCATCGATTGACGGAAGGGGCATGGAAGATCTGTAAGAGAGAGAACGCATGTGTTAGCCAACATATCCTACGTGGTAGAGAATAAGAGATGCCCATAAAATCCGGGAGGGGTATATGGAACGGGAATGGACGATCTGTAAGAAAGAGAACGCATGTGTTAGCCAACTATATTCGACACCACGGGAGAAAGAGAGATGTATAGAAGGAGACGGAGTTTCTCAGATTCGCCGAGAAGAGTGAGAGAGGCCCGGTAGACAGTGTAAGACGAAGAAAGGATATGTTTCCATCATAATGAGAGAACATGAGATAGAAAATGGCAGGGGGAGAGGGTGTGGAAGATACCGCGGCACCACCATACAATTGGCTAACATAACTAAAATGTTAGCCAACTTTTCCTAGCATCGGAGGCCCGTATCCTTCTGGGCTTCTATGGAGTCATCTGTATTCTTTGGTAATGTAGAAACCTACTGATACGGATATAGTGATGATAATATTAAATATAATAACGGATTTAAAATATTGAATGATGCGTTATTACGAATTAAGAGAATATAAAACTGACGCTTTACGGACTCATCAATGTCCTAATTCCCCGATATGTTTCAAACTGTCAGTTGTTGCCAAAATACTGACTGAAACATTTACATGCCGATATCCGAATTCGGGATTTTGTTCGCTGACCGAAACATTTCATTCAGTTGCACGAAATTTAATGTTAAAAGTATATCTTCCTCCAATATTTCTTATCGTCTTACGAGAACAAACTGAATTATGGTAACGAATAAAAATTTCATATCTTTTAAACGGTAATTCCGAAAAATTGTGATAAACTAACATGATTAGGTAACTTGACAAAACGCCTCTTTCAAATTTCTTTAACCTTTTGGCTACGGCGGGCGTCGCTACGGAATCCCTCCCGTAGAACAGGGCGCCGCGTCAAAAGTGTAACCATTGCGCGCTTCAGTTCGTATGAAGGTGGCGTTTTGTGGTGGGTGACTATAGTCATCCGTCGGGTGTAAGTGGCGTTTTGTGGCGGGTGACTATAGTCACCCGTCGTAGCGAAAGGGTTAAATGGCATATGGATTGATGATCTCACTTAATAAAACAAGGTAATTTCGGACCACCTTCGATAAGAAATCCGATGAAATGAATCGTTTTTCAGAGTGCGCAGAGCAGTTATCGAATGGTTAGATATTGTAAGAGAACCGGACACGCAGAACAAATTAACACAGAAGATTCTTCAGATCTCGCGCTTTTTACCGGACCCAATGAAGGTGCAGGAATTCTTGCAAAAATTTAGCTCAGAAATGAAGAAGGATTCAACTCTGCTCAAAGGCATGGAAACAATTGTTCAACCGAACGTCTCTTGCAAAGAATGTGCGGACACAATTAGTTTGGTCCTTAAGAAACTGGGTCAACCCGTGATGACGAACCTTTACTACAACACAATAAAAATGCTTCTCGAGAGAGTGAGCTCTGTAATGATTGATAAAGAGGCGATCAAAGTAAGTCGATTCTGTATAGTTATTTTATTAACATTTAAAATTGTGACTCGTGACACTTTTTACCTTGTTGCAGATTTTAATCGGATACGTGTTAGATTGCTTAAAAGGCGGTAACGTTATAGAAGAGGTTGGCCTGAATCCTAACAATGCAGGCGAAAAAGGGCTGAGATTACTTGTGGTAAGTGCACGTGTCTTCCGACTCATTAAGGGGCTACATACACCTAGGAGTAGGAAAGAAAAAGTGAATTTGGGACTTTTTTCATATAAAAGTTTCTTTTATTACAGAATCTTTAATTTCGTCTTAAAGCTCATACTTTTATGAGTCCAGTAAAATTTTCATAAATGAATATCCAAATAAAACGGGTACATGTGATCCCGTAGTATCTATTTGGTGATACGGGCTTCTGTAGTGCCTATCCTAATTCTGACAGTTCTTATCTCCAAAAATTAAAATATTGTCTTAAAGTACATAAAAAAAAGACTTTTTATTCTAGTCGCATTTAAAAATTTTAATTTTTCGGAAAATGGCGACCATTTGAAGATGTAGGTGTCATTTTCAGGTAACAAATCGATGTGTTTTTATCAATAACGAAAAACTATTATGTTAAAAAAAAACATTGACAACGTGTAGATAATTGTATAAAAAAGATCTGTGTAAAATTTCTACTGAATCGGTCCGTTGGTTATCGAGATAGGTTGGGCACCATTTTTGAAAATGTAGATTTAAGAAAAACGTGTTTAAAGTTATCGACATAGGTATTACTGATGTTATTTTTTCGTTTCACACATTGAATCGTCAATTCCTGAGCCGTATAGCTGCCTGGCTTTCAATATACCATATTTCACCTATTTTGCTAGCGCCCTGACTTCGTTGGATGAACTTGCGGGACAATGTATATTTTCGAACATTTGGCCTGCGCGCTAGGCCCTAGCACGTACCTACTTGTCACAGGTAGTAACTTCGTTAATTTCACGAATTTCGGAATGAAATTCGCAGGGGCTATAAATAAAAGGTTGAATTACCGAATAAAAATATTTGAAAAAACTCTACCTTTTCAACCCATCCAGGTGTATGTAGCCCGTTAAGGTGATATGAAGGGCGCCGAAAAATATAACCAACGTCGACAAAATAAAGTTCAGGTAGAACTTTTTCGGTGATAACTCTATTTTGGATACTCGAGTGGTAACAGATGAATTGGGCAATTGCTCACTGGCAAGGTCTAGAGCTCGAAAATTCATGGTAACATACAATTGGAGAAGGTAACTGTGAAACATACCGTAAGTTACCGAAAACATTGAGAATATTTTAGTCGCCAGAGTCATTGCAGTATAGGTAGATGGTGTAAATATAACCTTAGTACAACATTTTTCGTAATTGGTAGAGAAATTAAATTTTAATGAAAAAGCTCATAATTCTGTGAAATAAAAGTTTTAAGATAAATAGAAGATCAAGATTGTAATGTGGCAAGCAATAAAATTCTAAGTGGTGAGTTATGTGTCGTGTCAGGTTATAAGACTGGTTGTCGATATGATTTGTAAAGTGTAAAACGAGATTCGAACGGTTAAGTCATTGCTGAAGTGAGTTTAGATTTGATAAAATAGTACATGTAAAGACATTATGTGATTTGTGTGACATGTGTATTTTCTCGAAGATTACATATATTCACCCGAGGCTCAACAAGTTTGACAATTCATCACAGTTTGATGACGTTATCATAACAGAGGATTGTGCTGTTTCGTTAGGTAATTAATTCACTGCACTTAGTAGAATTACCATTGGGCACTGCTAGATGTCCCTACCATCGCCAGTGCGCGACCTTGCCCGTGAGCAATCTTCCATCTCATCTCTGGTGGTAATATACGTTAACGTGTCACGTTATCGACATTTATATTTACATTGACGTCTATTACACTTCATATTGAAAAGTATACGAAATAAAATATTACATATATGATTTCAGTAGAGTAATCGTAAAGATATCAAAGTAAATCTCAAGAAATCTTTTGGATCCATAAATTTTGATACTCTAATCGACCAACGGCATTATCTGCCATGTTTAGCGGCAATTAAATAATTGCTTTATTGGTATTTGCAGAGCATGTGTTGCTCATGGAATATCCGAGAATTTCACTATAGACATTTATAAAACTTTATTCGGTATTCCCCACAAGAAGCTGTAATGTTCGATTACTATAATATTCTAAGTTGTTATACCTAAAACATGAAGGCCCTTGTTTTCGATTCTAAGCTCTCAAAAGGCGTAAAATAAAAAAAAAGTGTCCTTGATTCAAGTTTTGGATAAATAAAAACATTGTTGTTTTGAAGCTTTGGCGCGTGATTATGGAGGCCTTAATGAAGAAAAAAAATTCATGAGATTTCATTTCTCAAACAAATTTTTTTTTTGTCACGCACTAGAACCAAGCTGGCTTCGTCAATATATATTTTTGATATTTTTCACTTTTTGAAAATTTAAAATTGAAAACAAAAACTTTCAGGACGTAGGCTAATTATTTAGAATACTATAGAATCGATTATTCCAAATTCATGTGGGAAATATCGATAAAAGTTTTATAAATGTGTGTAGTGAAATTCTCGGATATGTCGTGAGCAACACGTGTTTTGCAAGTGTCCTTAGAGCAAAAATTTAGTTGTCATTAAATGAGACAGATGGCGCAGTTAATCGATTAAGGTGAAGTGAACCCCCTCACATCAATCCATTCGAATAAGACACTTTTTTGAAAGGTATTGCATCAAACTGTCTGAAACTTTAACACATTACTCGTGAGCACCTAAGAATGATCCTGACACTTTAAAAATTCGAATTTTCGAAAGAAAACCTTTTCTACTTAGCCTAGACCAGCACCGAAATGGCGTCGACCTCTCATATTTCGATCAATATACAATTATTGGAGGCTTCGATACGAGAAACGAAAGTGTCAGAACAATTGTACAACAATTTAAAATACTCTGATAATCGAGAAACTCGCATTAGAACGGGATAAAGGCAAAAAAAGTGTCTTATGAGCTTTTATGCTGAAACGAAGATAACATGAGGTTTTGGAGAAAATTTAATTGCCACTGAAATCACAAATAGCGCAGAGTAGCACTCTGCAATCAATTAGGGCATCAAAAACCATGGATCCAAGGGATTTCTGGACTTTTACTTTGATTTGTTTATAATTATTGTACGGAAACGACATATGGAGTATGCAATTTAGTAAAACTCTCAATATAATTCGATGCAGCTGTTAATATAGATATGAACATCAGTAACGTAGGTATTTGGATGAATATTTTTTACCGACGTTGATCAAATTTCTCAACGTGTTTCACTTCACCTTAAAGCATCAGAACTCATGTGAATAAGGAATTTGTTGAGTTTTACTTTGATCCCTTTAGCGTCATTCTACTGGATTATCATTTGAAATATTTAATTGCATATGATTCTGAATATAGAGTGTATCAGACGTCAACATGAATATAAATGACGGTCACGCCTGCTTATGTTACTTTTTGAGTATTCAAAATGGCCTTATCGACGAGAATGGTATAAATAAATTTTATATTATCGACGTTGATTAAGGGGGAGCGGGACAACATTTTCTCTTTGTGCTTTTTCACACTTGCGGAAGTTGAAAGCGAGGAAATGAGAGCCCCCAAAAATGTTTGTGCAGGATGTACTTTGAAAAATTTGAACGGATAAAATTACAACCTACCGAAAATATAATTTTTCCTGCGAAGCCAGATATTTAAAATATTTCTTAGAAAAAATATAAATAATGAGTAAAAATTCGCAGTAACAGTGGGAACATGTAAAGGCGTCAACGAGGACATTTCCCTCGCATAAAACTTCTGCAAATTTCTGCTTCGAGTGCTAATTGTACGTCATGATATCGGTGCGCTGTAAAGATTGCGTAGTGGGAGAATGGCAGAAACAGCCTGGTACTTGACCGTAGTTATCGGGCCCCTGTACGATTTTCCATTGGATGCAGTACGTAAACGCATCACGAAAACGCACAAAACTTTTAAATGTTGAGTTGTTTTGTTACGTAGTACAGTAGATGTCTGTTTTCTAGTGAATTTCTTAATAGCAAAGTCTTTATTTCGTTACGTGATACATGACATTTTTATTGAGACCTGACGTCCGAGGACTCTAACGTTCGACATTACTGCGTTATGGCTGCTTGACATCAAAATTGCGGGGACACAACTTTCACGGCACGGCACAACAATGACGCTTGTTATATCACAAGTGTTGCCACTGCTTGGCGTTACGTGGCAGCATGGTCAACATGGGAGTTTTCAAGTAGTGCTATTCCCCCTTTAAATTTCTCGGCATCATTGATACCACCTTAATACGTTTGTTAATAAAATTATTCGGGCGAAGGAACGGAACTAACTTTTTAATAAAATAATGTCTATATATATATAAAAAAAAAAACACGGTTTTGGAGAATTATTATTCGCGATATTTTATTATATAGAATGCTGTATATTAAGAGGATGTAAAATTTGCATATGGGGGGTCAATTATTCATGAAACTTCTCTCCGAACTGAGTGTACTGAATCGTTTCAAACTTTTCGATGTGAATATGGAAGCTAGGTCCTGATGCCCATGAGATTTCATTTTTTCTGAAAAAAATTTTAAAATACCCATAAACAAATTTAAACCAAAATTTAAATTTTGTGGGTGTCACGACCTTCCTTATCGATTTCACATTTACACGGTAAAGTTTAAAACGATTCGGTACGCCCAGTTCGGGGAAAAGTTTCATAAACGAGACCACTTTGACGTCACTTTCACATCACTTTAAGGACGTGTGTGAGGCTTTGTTTATATTTATAATTCACGGATAAACTTTTTTTTCTCTTTCTCGGGTTGAAATGTATAACCTTCTGTGGCTATCATGTGTCAAATGATTCAGTAGGATTTCCGACGCTTTCAATTGTTACTTTTGGGCCTTCTCGAAATTAATAATGACAAAAGTATTACTTGTTTCTAGTTTGTTAAATAAAAAAATTTTCGGAAAATGAATTTTTTTTTTAGTATCAGGAACGGTCTTAGCAGCTCTACACTCATGTGTTAATATTTAAGACGAATCGATTCGTTTATCTTTTAAAAAAATGTATCCTCGCATCTGTCTGTTCAAGTCCACCTTTTACATCACCTTTACATACTCCAGGACACTGCATCCGTTATTAGGGTTTTATATTTTCCATGAAATTACAAAGAAGTATTCAATAGTCTAATTTTCTTTGGCGTTTCCAGATGTTATCCTTCGTGTTTGGTCCACATTTTCTGCACAACGACATCCTGATGCAATTAGTTCAATTTTTGGAACTCGAGGATGAGATGGTGGGACCACTGGTCCTCTCGATATTTACATTCTTAGGGAAATACAAACCTCTCTGTGAGGTAGCTCCCGAAATTACGAATCTATTGGTTCCCATTTGCAAGAGCTTCGCTGAGACTGGCACTCCGAAGCAGGCCAAGCAGGCTATTCGATGCCTGTTCGTCAATATGACCAACATCCACGATACTATCTTTCCAGAGATCATTGAAAGAATTAAGAACACCCTGACGCCTACGTCGGAGTATTATCGCACGTCGATCGTGACACTGGGTCATATCGCTTACAACTTACCTGACAAATATCAAACACAGATCAAGAATATGGTCTCTAGAAAGGTAGGTTAAATTTTGTTTACATTTGGTTTCAAGCAATGTAAAGTCTTGATTGATTTGAGGTTGAACTGGAACTGTGCATTCGTTTTTCTTGTAACGAGTCAATTCACGTCACCATTTAAGGCGTTATGAAACGGTTAGCCCATATACAGGGTTTGTCCGAAAAATATTGTCAGTGAGTCGATTTAAAAAAAAATGTATAGATTAGATCGGTACAATACATTAAAAGGATTCAAAATAGACTCCTCCTGCGTCGATACATCGCTTCCAGCAAAATTTTCGGGCATTGAAGGCGGCATGGTAGTCCTCCTCCGGAATGTCCTTTAGAGCCTTGGTGCAAGCCGCTTTGACGTTGTCAACTTTCCCGAAATAATGTCCTTTCATGTGAGTTTTCAAACGAGGAAACAAAAACAAGTCTGGGGGAGCCACGTCAGGACTGTAGGGTGGGTGGGGAACCGTTCGCACCTTTGAATCAGCAAGGAGCGGGTTACGAGGAAGGCAGTGTGGACTGGTGCGATGTTATGGTGAAGTTTCCAATCGTCCACGATGTCAGGCCGGACGCGATGAATCCTTCGTTTCAGTNAAGTTTAACCAGTTAACCGTGGCGACCTGTGGGCAAAGCGCGCACCAGTGTGTGTCGCGATAATCAAGCGATGACGGGTATAGTCGTCAAACACAGAGTAAGTGGCACTGTTGAAATATTGGGTCAAAATGACGACTTGATTTTAGAAAATGAACAATTTTATTCGTAATACTTGTACAGTCGCTTAATGTGAACATATATTTATACATAATGAATGGAAAACTTTAAAAAGTTGAACAAAATTTTAAATTGTTTCTGTCGTGTGATATTCACGAAAACAAGGAACAACGCATAGTGGCACTTGGCACGTCGGACACCAATACCGCGATTCTTTTCTAATCTTTTTTTTATAACAAACAGCACATCTTCGCGAAGGATTTGTTGTTCTTGAACTGCCTGGTATGTAATCCGGGAAATGTTTTTCGATCAAGCGCGAAACATTAGGTGCCGTTGATCGAGATTTTGGTAAGTTTCGCGATTCGATGGGATACGATGCAATTGTATCCTCAATATATTCTAATAAAAAGTGTATTCGGCTTAATTTTCCACCATTCATTTTGTATATTAGATATGAATTTAAACATATGACATCTAAAAGGTGGAGAAATATTTTTTTATAATATTTCTTTAACCTTTTTCTTGCAGTTGAGTATGCAATAATTATGCTGTCACTCATATCTACTCCACCCATTTTATTATTATAATCAAAAACTACTTCGGGGACTTTTTTTATTACATTTCTTTTTTGCATCTCTACGATGTTGTCGTTATGGACGGTGCTTACAAGATAAACTTCCCTCTTATCACGCCATTTCAACAACATAATTTTATTTTTGAATCTTGCAATATATTCGCCTTTTTTGATACGCGTTTCTCGAACTTCTTCACAAATGCCAATTCTGTTTTTCCGAATTGTGCCAACAACGTCCGTTTTATGTGCACACAGTTTCTCTATGAATGGAACACCAGTGTACCAATTATCTAAATAAAGTCTATATCCACGTTCGAAAAGTTCATCACATAATTGAAGGACAATACGAGCTGAAATATTAAATTCTGAATATTGTGAATCACAATAGGTTTCTTTTCCCGTATATATAAAAAAATTCCAAATATAACCCGATTCACTCTCGCATAGGACGAAAAATTGTATCCCAAACCGACTTCTTTTTGAAGGTATATACTGCCTCCATGATAACCGCCCTTTCCACATTAGCAACGATTCATCAATACAGATATCCATTTTTGGAGTATACAAAGATTTACACTTATTTATCACATATTCCAAAACAGTTTTAATTTTACAAAGCTTTTTCGATGGCATATCATTGTGGGGTGCGTTATTTTCAAAATATAAAAATTTGCATAATAGTAAAAATCGATCCGCAGAGAAAATTTTGCCAAAGAACGGTGAACAAATGATTTCCCTTTTCAAAAAATACATATCAAGTGCTGGCTTCTTTACAATACCTTGCAAAATCAAAATCGCGATAAAACATCTAACTTCATTATTAGTTGTTGAATACCATTTTCTCATTCTTGATCGCGGCTTCAAGTTCGGGTGACTTTGCAAAAATTGATCCGCATATAAATTTGTTTCTTTTACTATAATGCTAATAAGATGATCATCTAAATATTTTTCTACGTAAGATGAACATTTGGATCGGAATCTTCCTGGTACAATTTCCTGCTGACCATTGTTGGCAATAAAATCAAATGGTTTTCTGTTGCCACTTGTACTCTTCCACTTAACATTTGTATATTGATTTTCTTTGTTGTTTTTATTGTCCTCGGAATAAATGTCATCAGAGTCATATTGGTCGGTTTCACTGTCGGATTCGATGCTTTCATCGTTTTCCTCAGAAGACGATGGAAATATATTCACTCGTTTTCGCTTCATTCCAGGTGAAACAATGTCATCGTCACTGGAGTCACTCATTTTGGGGATAAAATAAGCTAAGAATAAAAAAATAGTGGGTTACGAAAGTTTTCTGGATAACTATAATAATTAGACACTTGAAACACTTACATTGCACTTTATATGACTTGGCACGATTCACTGACTATTTCAGACACACTGAAATGCACTGCATCGTTCACGTTCAAAAATTGAAATGACAAACGTGGGTTAGAGTCTAGTAAACCGCGGAAGAGTGAATAAACCTAAGTGGGGATATCTAATCGCGGCCTGCGCTAAAGTTTGCACAAGATGTGAGGCTAACAATATATCCGGGTGGCCCCCGTTTACGAATTCTCGGACAACTGATAAAAATCAACCGTTTCATCTCCATCCCCGATAAGTCCTAGAACTGCGCTGAATAGCAACAAAAATTGCCTGATCCAAAACAAACAAGGAGTGAGATAGCGCACATGAGCTGTTTCCAGGTATCACCGCAAATAGAGAATCTAGTATAAAAAAGAATACAGAATCTAAATTAAGAATCTAATAAACTTTTTTTTGGTTTTGGTACATCAAGATGAAAATCGGGATAATCAAATATCCAGATATAACTGCACTGTTCACGAGTTAGCTCTCAGACCGTTATGAATCAACTTAAATTATTTATAATTTTTATTTGCTTGTTTCATTTCGTTGTGACCTCTGAACATTTTAAACATATTAAAATTTAGGAATAAAATTTAATTTTCTCCAGAACTACAATTTAAATATCGAATTGTAACAAAATTTTACACATGACGGATAAAGTCGTCATGGCACAAAATTCTGCCAAATCTCCATGACGGATATAGTCGTCAAACACGGTTAACTGGTTAAATGCCTTGGCGCCTTTCATATTACTTTAAGGTGAAGAGAAACACCTCGAGAAATTTGATCGACGTGAAGTAAAAGTTTCTTCTAAATATCTACGTTGGCGGCATTTGTATTTATATTGGCAACTGTGTCGAATTATATTGGGTATTGTACTTGAAAACTTGTAAAAATGGCATACTCCATCTGTCGTTTTCGTAAAATAATTATAAACAAATCGAAATAGAACTCCAGAAATCCCCTGGATTCATGGTTTTTGATGCCCTAATTGATTACATAGTGCCATCCTGCGCCATTTGTAATTTCAGTGTTAACTAAATTTTACTTCCGAGATCTCGTGTTCCCATCGTTTTATCATAGAAGAATATAAGATACTTTCTCTTTCCTTCATCCTGCTCGAATGCGAGTTTCCCGATTACTAGTGTTTTAAATTGTTGTACAATTGTCCTGACATTTCTATTTCTCATAACAGAGGCTTCAATAATTGTATATCGATCGAAATCTACGAACTCGATGCAACTTTGGTCTAGTGTAGGCTAAGTCAAAAAATTTTTTTTTCGAAAAACAATTTTGAAAGCGGGAGGATAATTCTTAAGTGCTCATGAGTTATGTGTCAAAGTTTCAGACAGTTGGATTCAATATCCTTAAAAAAGTGTCATGTTTGAATCGACTGATTTGAGGTGGGTTTCCTTTCACCTTAACGGTGTCGATGTTGACATTCTACGAAGACAATTTATCAATATCATAGCTACTCAATAATTTTCGATGCTTCTGCGATGAGCTGTACTAAAAGTTACCTCTGGAATTAGATATACACAACCATCAGATATAAACAACTTCCTTCGATAAGAGAATGTGTTTGTTTTTCATTGTTTTTTATTTCAGTGCTGTAAGATACTCCGAATAGATTTACATTAAAAAAAAAAATGTATTTCTCTTAGTTTGAAAGTAGCGATTACAAATGTAATTTAAAATTGACAGTGAGTGATATAGATCATGCGTTGATTTAATGTTTTTTAAAATTACATGAAACTTGAATAATTGTTTACATTCCCACATTACATTCGAATAAAACATATGCTTAAAATCTACTACATTTCTCGTGATTGAAATTTTACAAAGTTTAACATGTTTATTAAGTAATTATTTCCATGTTAATAAAAAATCATCTCCTTAGTCCCGATTTTTAAATTTGAATGAAAAATTAAGAGCACTAAGGTCACCAATTATGGAAAGAAATGTTAAACCCCTTTAACACATGCAAGAATTTATTTTATCTCTGTCAATTTTTTGTCATACAGATAGTAAAGGAGCTCCTTGTTAAAGAGAGTACCGAACAAACAACCGATGCCATTGAAGGGGACTGGTGTAGAGAGGAGCAGCTGCCGGAGGAAACACGGTGTAGGTTAGAAGGGCTAAAGTGCATGGCCCGATGGTTATTAGGACTGAAAACCGACGTGCTATCCGCCCAGAAGACCTTCAGGATGTTAAACGCCTTTGTGGTGAACAAAGGTGACCTCTTGCAACAAGGACGACTAAGTAGGGCAGAAATGAGCTGGTTACGTTTACAAGCAGGCTGCTCCATGCTCAAAATCTGCGAGCAAAAAGGAGTTGGCGATCAATTCACTGCCGAACAGTTTTACAACCTTTCGCAATTGATGGTGGTGCGTGTTTATAACTAGTAAATAGAAAATTCCACTCGCCCGAAACCCTTGTTGCTGCAGCTTTTCATTAGATGACCTTAATTTCTGTTACTTCCAGGATGAAGTGCCGCAGGTAAGAGACGCCTTCGGTTGCAAATTGCATAAAGGTCTCTGCAGAGGGATTCCAAATAAGTGTCTACCTCTCGACTTCATGGGATATTACGCTCTTGCTGGAAAGGAGACCGACAAGAGGCTCAAGTACTTGTTGAAGACGTTCATGCAGATGGACATCAGTAAGCGGAGAGATTACGTAAAGACGCTATCTTTGGGAACCGTGGAGCGAGCTATGGGTATGTAGCTCAAATTTTCTTTATTATTGACAAATCAGTTAATGAATTACTTGTAATACGGTACTATATTGTGCTGAATTTAATGATTAATATTATAACTACCGGCGGCTTTGTTTTGTATAGGATGGACCATCTTAAACCAGTCATTTTGACTAGCCTTGGTAGTTCTAGTGTTAAACCATATTCTTTATTCCGGCTCGCTTTTATGGTACTTTTGCATTTTCTGCTTTGCTATATAGAGCAAACAAAAAAGTATCTTTAGGAAGGAAAAACTGATATCAAAATTTGACACGTGGTTAATTTAGTACTTAATTAAGGGGCCAGAATTTTAACGTTACAACTAAAAAGATTTCGGTTACTTCCCATACAACCAAATTTTCCGAACAAAAATCCATACAAGATGGTTCACAAAATTTGTGAAAGGCATCGAGACATGTAATCAACATGGGTAATATAAAATTCATCTGTACCCTTTTCGGCATTAACGTTATTTTGGATACTTAAGTAGTAATATAAACCGCCCTCCACGTTATTGACATTTATATGTATGTTGATGTCTGTTAAACTTTCCATTGAGATTTACACGAAATAAAGTACTCCAAATGTAATTTTAGTAAAATGATTGTAAAAAGGTCGAAGTAAAACTGAAGAAACCCTTCGGATAAATGATTTTTGATACTCTAATCGACCAACGGCGCTATCCGTCATATTTAGCTGCAGCTAAATTTAATTTAGTAATTTAACTAAAAAGATTAAAACACGGGCTCATTGGTCAACTTGTCAACTAAAATTTCGAAAGCTTCTAACTGCTCTTTCGAACGTAAACTTCGCTCCCTTCCTTAGAAGCTAGTACTGTTATGCCGCGGAGAGTGGTAGGATTCTTCTCGAAGAATCTGTTAACCTTTTCTTGTCATAGGACTTTATTCTTTATTATGCATAATGTGTTCACGACTTACGCTGTGATCCGACAGGTTCGGAGTCTAGAGTAGGACTGACTTTTCTAAGTTTCATAAAGTTTCTCGTAGGGAGATGTGGGCTCCTCGTTGTCGTGGCGCCGGGCGTAACCGCTACCGGACTCCGTTTCCGTAGACATAGAGATCTTTTCTCACGGGGTTTTCCGACGCCACGCAGTTCTCGGAACTCACATTCATTTAAATAATCTTAAATTATTTTTAAATGACAGCATTACAGTACAACGGTCGGGCAATGAATGGGAAATGTGCCACGTATTTACGGAAGTATCCAACGAGCCCTAAGAATCGTTGGACCTCTTTCGGATTCCTTGGCACAGGGCAGTTTCGGATAACTTGTACATGCTCGTGGTTCGGCTTAATACTTCCCTCTGACACGGTGTATCCCATATACTCGATTTGTTGACTCCCAAAAATGCATTTATCCGCTCATAACTCTAACCCATGTCGTGGCATCAGTTCAAGAACATCCTTCAAGATCTCTAAATTCTCATCTACCGTCTCAGATGCAATCAACACATCGTCCAAATATGGTAAAATCTTCCTTTGGTCTAAAATAAAGTTGGAAAGTTAGGTTCAGGTACCTCTGGAACACAGACGGTGCATCTACCAACCAAAATGGCATTCGTCGAAACTCAAGTTGCCCGTTAGGCGTACTAAAGGCTGTGTACTTCACCGAGTCTTCCGCTACTCGAATATGATGGAACCCATCCTTCAAATCTAAACTAGTGAACCACGACTTCCCTGAAAGACCATCTACTTGGTTATTCACTCTCGGTAAAGGATAACGGTCTCTCACGGTAACCCTATTCAAGGCTCAATAATTCACGTATATCCTGTACTCGCTATTTTTCTTCTTCACCAACACAATGGGACTATTATAATCTGACTAACTCGGTTTAATGATCTCGTGTTCCAACACATCGTCCACGATCTCTCGCGTCTTCGACTACTCGTACCACGATAATCGGTAACATCGAAAACAAAACAGTTCCGCGCTTGTCAATACAATTCTTATCTAGTAATTAATCTAATCGTCTTTCGATCTGTCTACCTCGTTAGCACGTAACATATTCAGGGTCAACTCCTCTTTATCCAGTGGCACGTCCCGACCCATCTTGTAACTCGCAAAACTCCCAACTGTATCCTCAATCGCATCCCCAGATAGGTATACACAAAGTACACGGCCTCGCGTACATATCGTCGTTAACCCCCATGTGCTCAAGAAATCCCTTCCTAACAAAATATTATACGGTATCGTTGAGTCAGGCACTATCGCAAAATTGACTATGAAAATCGTATTGGGAATAACCTCCAACTTAACTGACTTTAACACGACCCAGAATTCACATTGGTGTGCCATTGACACTTTTGCACGTGGTTTCGCTCCCTATGTTTCGACCTGGTTCGCAATCGCTAAAATCTCTACTAAATACGACCTCGGGCATTAGTGATATCCTACTACCCGTATCAAGTAACGCTTTTGCAAAATAATCGTAACCATCTTCTCTACAAAATAACACGGAATACTCATGTCTTGATTTCCGCAACGGCACTCGCACCGATGGTACCGCAACCATTGGGTCCGTCGTCTTGTCGCCGTGTTCCGCTGTTCGTTGTGGGTTTCCCGCATAGACTAGTTTCTCCTCTACAAAAGCTGTCGAATTGTCGACCCAAGGCTTTACTGAAGGTGAATCTCCTATTGGCCTCGTCACAGCACCCTCCGCTGTCCCGCTTCTTCCATCGCTCCTCTCGTTCGATGATGCCTTCCTCTGGCACTCTCGACTTCGGTGGCCAACCATCCCATATCGGAAGCATCCACTTATCTCTTTGGCGGGGTTGATGCACCCTGTCGACACGTGACCGTACTCGGCACGGCACCTGTAACACCTAGTCTGATTAGGCTTCACAGTAGCATCCGATTTGTAAACGTTCCCTTTGTTCGTTTTGACGTTCTTCAGCACGTTGTTATCTCGCCCCTTTTAGACGTCTTGCCTCGGCTCGTTTCTCGTAACGCGTTGCATAGCGTCCAACAAGTCGATTGGCGTCTCGTAATTACCCGCCCTGGCATGTGACTTAAGAATGAAGTCTGGAATCCCCTCGATGACATATTCGGTTTTCATCTGCTCGGTGAGAGCGTAATGGCTGTTGACTGCGGTTAATTGCTTGATTAATTTCAGCTTTTCCTGAAAATATGTAGAAAAGGTTTCCCCCACTCGCCACACGCGAGCCTTCATTTTTCGTACCCTCGTCAACGGGTCGTCGTGGCACTTGTATAGTCTCCGCATCTCCTCTTTAAATTTGGACCATGACTTAGCAACCACACCCGGTACATTGTTGAACCAGTCTAAGACTCTACCCTTTAATTGTTTCGTTGCGTACAGTTTGAGAATGTCATCCGGAATTTGATACGCCCGCCCAATCTTCTCCACTCGTAGTATCCACCGCTCGACGTCGTCACATCGGAATGATGCTGCCAACGTCGCTGTATCGTACTCTCGGGCCAGGGAGAGCGGCCACCTGCATCACTGCCGCAACCAGGCCCTGCCTATTCATCCACAAATCGACATCCTCCAAAACGTGTAGGTGCTGCGACTCGTTGGGATGACCTACGTGGTCATCACCGTACTCGGACTTCCTGATGGTCGCCTGTGCCGTCCATTGTTCACGTTCCGAACTTGTGTGACGTCATTTGCCTCTGCCATTATCCTTCACCCGCCTTCATTTTCGAGTGGGATACCCGACCTCGGGCTATGTTTTATTGGCATTCTCACGGCCAACCCGATTTCCTCCAGAGTCGTAAAACCAAGACACCCCGGCAACCGATCTCGCGAACTTCGAACACTAGGCTAAATATCTCGTTAATCCCGCCGTGCGTTCCTTTATCCGGTCCTTGGTCCCACGTAGTGCGTGCGACCGTTCGCACTCACGACACTACGCCCAATTCACGAAGTCTGCAAACTGTTTTTACACGTCGGAAACACTTTCTGAGATAACACGAAGATCTTCTCTGATCCGCATTGATCACGACACGTCGGAAAATTCTTCCGAAAGGGGAACACAGAGGATCCCGGCACGGGGTCCCCTTGAAGTACTTTTCTCTCTCACACGTTTCTCATTCCATAGGCCTCTTGGTCCAGTTCCACTTGGCTCTCAACCCCACTTCTGAAAGAAAGGGTTAACAATGTAGGCGTCAGGAAAGGCACTAGCCGTAACGGTAGACCTCGAGTCTTGGGGTATACAGTCTTTATTCACACTTTCCTTACAGATCTCGTCTTTGCTTCTCCACGCGCCGCTCGTTGGGTTCTTGGCAGTCTCTACGGAAATACAGTGTCTTCTTCTCATCATAAGCGCCGATGTCTCCTCGCTACCTCGTTCCTAGCGCCGCCGTCAGATGTCGGTGGCACTGCCCACAGAACCCTTCCTTATATTTATATATTTATCATATTAGAGGGCTATTATATTGTCATCTTTGTTGATGACTCCAAATTGAATGCTGACCTTCCTTATTTACGATATAGGATTTTCACGTGTGAATGACACGTGTTAAATAAGTTCATCTATTTTATCTATTTTTCCGTTTCAAACTTGGTTTAGAATGGTTCATTAACGATTTATCACTGTTTCTTATGAAAGAACGATCATCCCAAGCGTGAGCAGATCTCAGATGCTTTTATCTGGACATAGATTTGTTGTTGGTGACAGTTTGGGTGATAACAGAATCTGTACATTTTTATACTTTTTTACTTCAGTATGGTTTGAATAATTATTTATTAATCTGGTAGTTATCTAGCAGTTCGGAAAAGAATTTTTCTCTTTGCTGAGGAAAAATGCTCTTTTTTGTGAACTCGTAAATCGACTTTCAGCTGGTATAGTAGGAAGGTTCAGTTTTCTCTAAACCTTGTAGGTACAACAAGACTTTCAGCGTATTGCATGTAAATAATGTACTACTGCAATTTGTGTTTGATGATGTAAGTGATCCACGTCAGTTGCGTTACCCCCAAAGAATTCAGAAGTCTCCATAAATTT